CTGTGCTGGCATTTCTCCTGCGGTGTTGCTATCAGTGTGAAGAGTGGGAGAAGAGGGTTGCATTGACAGTCCAACACAATGGGCAGCACACTGAACACATCTTATAAGTGGTCAGAAACTTGTAAATAACTCATGAAAGAATAAAGTTATGTTGAAACCAAGCACACCATTGTTTTTCTTGTGACATTACCAATAAGTTTGATGTGTCACATGGCCCTCTTCCTATTGAAAAAACAAAAGTGTTATTCAAGATGGCCGACTTCTAAATGGCCACCATGGTCAACACACATCTTGAGGAGTTTGCCCCCTCACATATATTAATGTGCCACAAACAGGGCTTTAATATCACCAACCATTCCCATTTTATCACGGTGTATCCATATAAATGGCCCACCCTGTAGATCTGACACCCAAGAGTGGTATTGCAACATTTCCAGTGAAGTGACGAGTGAGCTCTGCGCGACAGAAACCCAAAGATAACTGACTTTAACCTTTTGGCTACGTTGGGGCTGCAGACAGTACTTTCTAAGACTTCTGTCATATTTCAGGTCTGTTTATAGAACAAAATATAGAATTCAGTTTAAACTGTCTGGCTGCACGGTGCATGCTTGGAGCCTGCCAGACCCCCAACATTACTTCAGCAGATACAGTCGCTGCCACGCTGTCCAATTGCTTGTTATCATTTCCCGTCTAGCTTCACAGTCCATGGCATGTGTAATCATCAGTGTGTTTCTACAGCTAACCTTATAGGAAAACAGCGTGGTACCGAGGCCTTATCACTAAAAACACACACACGCACACACTCAGACTAAAAATGATCTCATTCGCCATTCGGCTAGTCTGGCTCTGACAGTAACTGTGATACTGTGTTTGTGTGGTCTTTTGTGATCATACCGAAAGTACTGCGATAACCACAGCTGGACCGAACTGTACACATCTCACAGGAACCAAACGGATGAGCGTGCTTTTCGTGACACGCTGTCCTGTTTTGACGCGACTGATGGTTCTCGACACTGAAAACCCAGCAGTAGTGGAAAGTGACGCAGAGGTGAGAAGAAGCACGGACTCATCTCCTGTTTTCTCGTCTATTCTCACTTCACAGCTTATGAGGTCAATCTTCAGCAATAAGCCATGTTTGATCCTCTTTCTGGCCACAATTGCAGTTGAGGTTAAGGTGGTGTAAGTGATGTTGAACAGAGCACGCTCATTTCCTTTTGGGTAGCATGTTGCCATAGTGAAAAATAAGGGAACAAAGTCTTAAAGCCTCAGCTGGAGAAACCAGGACATGATACAATGCTGCTGGAATCGGGGGAGTGGAGAGAGATTGGCGTTTGGGGGCTACATAGTATTTGAACTCATTATATATTCATCCTGTTGTTTAGTTACTGAAAGCTGTTTGGAAATCAGCAGAAAAGCATGCATGCAGGGGAAAATAACAGAAAGTTAGATGAGATGAGAAAAAGGGCTGAGATTAGAGTGGGTGTGTTTGTTTTTTTACCTGGTCCTTTCAGTGGATAGTCCTTCCAGTGATCTTTGAGTACAACATGCAGCACAGGATATTCAATCAGTGTTTTGTAGCTCAGGTTATCCCTCAGGCTCTTCTCAATGTCCAACTCATGATACCTATTTTAAAACAAATGAAAGCACAAAAGAGACCAAACGAGTGTTTATAACAAAGAGATGCCATGCAAAAATAAAGTCACATCACTACTGTTGGACCTCCTAAACCGGCAACTGCAGCTCTTTATTTCTCTTGTCGCCCGAGGCACAGTGACTGCTGATGCTCATTAAAGGATTGATAGAGATTTGAGTCATGGCTTGGCAGAAAAACGAGATCCTGCTCAGTGCCTGTCTCGTGGAATGGAAACTGACTTTAGTTGAGAGTCGACGACATCTCTCAAGCACAGCTTTCTTACTGCTCCTTTAACTATTTGCACTTGATGACATCAGCCTAGCTTTGTCTTAAAGTAGACCTGTGGCACATTAGAGATGGTCATAAATCACCGATCTGAATAGTTGACTGGATTCTTGGAGACATGAGCTAGCAACACAGAGCCAGCTTAGGTTGCTGTCACCAAAACACAAGACATCACATGTGTACTGTCGAACCGTAACTGACTTAAGCCATTGTTTGTTTTGGAAAAATCACATGAAAATTAGATCCACCCAGGTATCCACCCACTACGCGCACCGATCAAAACACTCTGCTATAATGTGACGTTTACAGGTCATTAATGGAGATTATTATTATTATTACTATTATTATTACTACTACACATTATTTTACATATTAACAGCCACAGCACATTTTTTCCTGAAGTAAAACAAAGTGACGTTTCAGATCAAAAGGAGAATCCAGTGTGAAAAGCCACAATGTGCAAGAAAGTAGCATACTTACAATGACTGCATCCACTTTGATGTGCACACCAAATATCCACTGTTTCCATGTCATTCATTTTTATGTGTTACTGATAAAGAGATTACTCTTAACGGATGTTTTTTACATTTTTTCCCCTTTTTTTGGGGGGGGGCTAAATTAAAACATACCTGTTGGTAAACAACCATTTAAGAGGGGTAGCTGGCAAACAGAGAGAGTGACTCCCTGCAGTGTTAAATCCTGGATATTTCTGAAGATCAAGACCGGGTGGCTCAGCCAAGAGCGTGCACACATCTGGTCTCTATATAATGTTCTTGTGAATGAACAGAGGACACACTGATGTTCTCTTCAGGGAGGTTCCCATTGTTTTCCTTCTGCTGCCGAGTCCCATCAGCAAAGAGACAGCCGTGTAAAATGGGAAGGACATAGAGAAACTGCAAATATGACCACTGAATACATACACCAACCAGCCACAACATTAAAACCAACAACAGATGAGTCAAGCAACACTGACCACTCCGTCACACCGCAAATCTCTAGCTGGAAACCTTCGGGCCTGGTATTCATGTGGATTTGAACTCTGGGAAACACACCGAACACCCAAAAGTTGTTGCCTTACCTGGCAGAACAACACAACAAAATAAACTGGAGAAAGTCTTTAGGAACATGACAAAGAGCTCGAGGCACTGCAAGATCACGTGCAAGATTGAGCTGTTTTGGGGATGGACGGCCATCGCAATATGAAACTGGAGGTTTTAAATGGGAACGATCTCTGTACTGTGATGTTGAAAACTATTAGATTAAGATATAAATCTATTGCAAACATACAATTACACAAGTCCAGTTGCACAAGCGTTCTACAGAATAACACTGCTGTTAATTGTTAAGACAATCTTATTGTTTGAACTGATATTGACTCACAGGGTGCGGCTGGCTGCAGAAGGTTTCCGGAATTCCTCCAAAAATTTTTGACCTCAGTTATTTTTCCTCACGCAATGACAATGTCCCCTTTCATTTTTGTTAACTGCTAAAAAGTAGGCACTCAGAAAAGAAAATGTGAATGCAAGTAAAAGTTGCAGCTGTTCCACCACATTGCTGATTTGACCTAAAAATAACCTATGGAAATGGTATAAAATACAGAAGGCGTCATCAGATCAGACATGGAAACCAAACTATGTTGAGATCACACAACAGATCAGCACAAGCCGAACTCCATCAACTCCACCTCTGATGGTAAATCTCTTATCTTAGAGATGAATGATTTTTTTTCCCCCCCAATGGTTTCCCGGAAATACACTGCTAAAAAAATAGCTCAAAAATAGCACTCAGTAAAAAAAAATACAGCAAGTACGTTGTATATTTTTAAGACACCTGGTCTCCATATTCCACTTTAAGTGCTCTACAATTTAAACAAATGGGATTCTGTAATTTTAAGGAAGCATTGAATTGACATCATTTAAACATAGACACAAAAATAAGCCTAGAAGTCAGTCACTTTCCAAAATTCAGAAGCACCACACGTTGCCAACAGCTCCACATTTTCTCCTGCACCAAAGGACTCAGCGTGCAGCACCTGTCCTTCCCGTCCTACTTCGGTTCACCTCATTATCATATTTTGTGTCACAATTTAATTGTTTAATTGTTTGTGTTTAACAAGGTTTGTGGCCTTGCCACATTTGTCACACACCGCATCTTGGCTGTTTGTGACTCTGCCTATGATCCTCAACTGAGTGAGTGCGCCCACTGATGCATTTATACAGCCATATTTTGTATATCACTATGACAGGCGGAAGAAGTAGTTCCTAACAATCATTCAGACAATTTCAATAATATAGTTACTTTCCATTTTGTTCCTGTTAATCATGAACTACAAGTTTACCTGAAATCACTAAAATATCGATATTTCAATATGACATTTGATTCTAGAACATACATTTCTGGCACTGCAAGAATCGATACTTCAGTAGCAATTTGCACAACACTACTACCTGCATATTCTCACAACATGAGATAGGGAAGTATCGTGCACCAGGAAGAACCCAGGACCCACCTCACCAGCACAGGGTCTGAAAATGGGTCCAAGGATTTCAAGGACAAAAGAGTGGAGACGAGTCCTGTGCTGGGAGACAGCAAATCTTCTGGCAAAGGCACATGTTAATGTGCCATCCTGGAGGATTTGGACTGCCTGTACAACCTCTGTAGGGCCTTGCCTCATGCTAACAATAGTGACATTGACTTTAGCCAAATGCAAAACTAGTGGGGTAAAAAAAAAAAAAAAAAAAAGAGAAAGAAGTGAAAAAAAATGTTAGTGACCTCCATCTGTAAAACTAAGATGTGCAAATCAGGCTCTTTCTTTTTGGGCTATAACACCAAAACACAATTTTAAAAAGCTGTTTTAATGGCTTTTTTTGTAATGTTGCTTTGGCATAAAAAAAGACAAACATAATTCATATTTTGCCTACACATTCACATTCATAATTAGATCGTATTTTCAGAGTAATTCTTTGTCAGAACTGCATAAAGTCTTATGGCTGTTAACTCTGACTAATAGCTCTACCTTGATGTCCACATTCAGTACAGGTCAGCCAGTGTCCTAGGCAACCATCCCTGTCCACACTTTATACACTTAATTGCACCTTTATTCCTTAATTTCAGGGTGTAACTCCTCTTAAGCCAGGTTTGGAAAAGTTTGCACTACAGAGGTTCAGTTTAAAAAGTAACACAAAACGGTTTCAGTGCAGACCTTCAAGCACCATGTGTCTGCCCATGTTCTCCCAAACAAAAATTACAGCAAATTTTACCAAAAGTGACAACTGAAGATAGTCAAACAGTGCTTTTTAACAAACACTATTTCACACTGTGTGTTTGTGTAAAAGCTGAAGTCACTTGAAAGAAGGAAAAATGTCATTATTACCTAATGAATACCTTAGAAATGCCTTGCTGTTCAGCAACCAGCAGGAGACCTGAGATAAGCATCTGCTGTGCAGAAACATACTTGAACGTAGCATTAGGGCAAGCCAAGGGAGAGCAGATAGAAAAGCTCCAGGGGACTAAGGAAGCACTAGCCACAAATATGTGAGAAAAAGAACAGCTTCAACAGGACAGGAACATCACTGCCTTAAGGCAACAGCACAACACTGGTTAAAAAAAACTAAACTAAACTAAAAAACCCAGAAAGCAGAAAAATACGGTTCGCATTGTAAAAAGAGCATCTCCATTTTAGACATCAAGGATGCATCCCTCTCCGTCTGGCAGACTGAGAGGAAAGGCAGTGGTAAGGGAAAAGAGGAGAGGGCATCCCCAGGATCACATGGGAGGAATGACTAAAAAAATAAATAAACACGAAAAAAAAACAACAACCCCATAAACAAACATCAGAAATGTGTGAATGGTTCCCTTGATGCACATGCTCACCTTTCCAGTAAGAGGATGTGGGCTATACAAGCGCCACTTATTTTAGCACAAGAACTCCTTTATTGGAGGTGGTTGATATTCCAGTAGACAACAAAAAACACGCAGTCATACCTTTTGTGTTAGACGTGGCAAATGACCACTAAGAAGCCATGACTACTTCTATCCATGACTTCTTAACATTAATAACACTGTAAAATTAGGGGTTTTCCACCAAGTCTGCATTATTCAGAAAGTAGAGGCTTATTTGTGGTTGAAATAATCCGACCGGATTTGGAACCTCTTAAACAAGATACAAGCGCAAATATAGAATTTTACCCTCTTCTATTCATTTGGATTCAAAACTAAAAATTGTACTCTGAATTAACAGACACTTAAAACACTGTTCTGGCAGATACTGAGGAGAGAATGTCAAATAGATTGATTTGTTCATGCTGCTCAGTTACTCATTACTAACGACTACTAAATGTGTATCAGGCCAAACGCTGTTAAAAGTCACGTATAAGACCTTTTGAAAGAAATGATCTTCTGCCAAAAATGACAAAAGTAGTGATTCATTTATATAAAAACGAAATCTTAACAGGAAATTCCTGTGCTATTATTTCCACCTTGACATGATCACCTCATATGATGCGCCCCGCCCACCTAAACAGAACAGCCTTAGGGGGGGGGAAACAAAAAAATGACTTTTGATACAACGACACTGGATACATTTATGCAAATATGTAATAAAGTAATGTTAAATGGAACATTACAATGTGTTGATGCTGTAACACAACAAGTGCAATTTGAAGCATCATTGTAAAGAAAGAAAGGTTTTAAATGAACAAAGTTACGACGCACACATTAGTCACACTTCTAGAAAGCACAGCTCCATCTCTAATTTGTTCTCTAAAAACTTCCTTTTGAATTTACTTTTATGTTTATAACATCCACCTCAGCTTTAAAGTAAGAAACACGTCAACATGATTATTAAAGCTCTCGGCAAAACTCCACCATCATCTTCTGTGTCACTGCCTTTCATAAAAAGTGTATCAATATTTTATTAGAACTATGATGCTTTATGCTTACAGATAAAACACACAGGGTGAATTTGATAATGTACCCCGCAACACTCCAGAAGTACTTCAGGAATGGTTTAAAGAATGCAAAAAAGGTTCCCAATTCCCAAGCTTTCACTTTAATAAAGCTCTTGAATCATGTGCTAGAAAACCATGTGCAATCCATACGGACCCTGACTATCGTCTTACAAGGCTTCAAGTAAATTTGCCCTGCTGATAAAGGATTCAGAGTCCATGCCTGAGCAAGTCAGAGCTCTGATGGCTGCAGAGCACTGACTTTCCCTTGTTGTTATTATAGATGCTTGTTGCTGTCCCTGCTCTCTGTATTAGGTTTAAATAACATTAAGGTAGGACACGAGTATGAATTTTAGCGTGGTTTATAGGTATATAACAAAGTGACTAGTAGACTATACTATACTGTGCTACACTTTATAGAAATTTGTAATGGTTGGAAACTTACTGCCTTTATGAACTTATTGCAATACACTAGCTTGTACAAGGTTCATATTTGTGGCCTCAGAGATGAGAAGAATTTAAAACTATGCATTAAGGATAAAAAGGTAAGGGTCTTGGTAAATCTCTTATCCCTCTATATGCTTTTATAAAATTTAATTTATCTCCTGAGAAGAAGTGTGCAGCTGAACCTGCTGCTGCAAAGCAAAATGATGGTGTGTGTGTGTGTGTGTGTGTGTGTGTGTGTGTGTGTGTGAGAGACAAGAATGAAGGATGGGAAGTTTTATGATGTCTCATCTCAGCCAGGGGGCAAATATAATGAGCACCAAGGATCATCATTCACTTTGTCACTAAGTAGAAACGGAAGGCTGCCAAAGAGCCTAAAAGTAGGCGAGGCAGATGGGTGCTACCATCACCTCTCCCTGACCCGTTCAAAAAAATGAATGCACAATTTAAAAAAAAAAAAAAGAAGGCGCATACAAAACAAAAGGTATGCAAAGTGGAGAGAGCCCAAGTCTAAGAAGCAAATGTCAAATTTTTAAATAACTTAGCTAATTCACAGATGTAAAAAGAAAATTATCACCACATGCAAGCTGTGATCAAAAGATGCTGAGGACTTCTAAAATACTAACAACCACCAGTGCTATCCCATAGCCTCGTCCTACAGTAGTATGTACACCTATGGTATCGATATGAAGCTCCTACGTCGTCTTGTTCTCGAGGTATCACTTTCACAAACTTAGCTGTGCGCGCCCGCTCGCTCACCTGGCAGGGTGACAACATTACACCATCAGCCTTTTACGGCTTAGGGGTAAAGATCAAAAACCCCTGACCAGATTTAAATTTGCCCAGTGTGACACTTTAGGTTGTTTTCTCATGGACTGTTTTCAGCATGCCTGCCGTGCCATCACTGTGTTGTTAACTCCCCTCGACATGAGTTTCTGTGATACCAGGTGAATTTCTCCCAGAGATTCTGTCTTGCTTCCCTCAAAAGCAAAGCAGAATACATCTGCATGAATGACATAGGAGGCAAAGATGAAGATGCAGGAAAGAAAGATAGTAAAGATAGAAGAGTCTGAATATCTTAGATCAATCAATCAAAAACAACAGAGTGCGCAAGAGAGGTGACGAAGAAAGTAAAGGGCCACAGTGAAGAATCATGGATGTAGAGAGAGAGGAGATACAGAGGGGGATGCTAGGGATGGAGTGAAAGAGCATCTCACCTGACAGAGTTAGCCTTTCTTCCCTCCACTTTCATGAAGACTTTGACATGATCAAACCGAGCTTGCACATACATCTTCAACCTGAAAAACAAACTCACATTAACACCAAGAACTAAACATATGGCCACAGTGACTAGCTTTAAGGTAGTGACGAAAAGGGTCAAAACACAAAGAGCTCATTGACTGAGCGTGGCACAGCAGTGTCCAAATGTACACTGGTATACTGACTGACATATGTATGTACTGTCAACCACAGCACCTGAGCCTGCTGCGAACAGCTGGCCAATGGAACATGCAGAGTTGAAACCTCACTGGCTTGAAACTAGAAAGAGCCTGTGTATAAAAGATTGGCAAAGACTATGTCACGTCTCTATTTAAAGAGCTGTACACCTCTACACAATGCTCTTGATGTGGATTTTGCAGTAAGGCACTGATCGCTGTTATCAGTTTAAAGCTTAGGTCAGAGGAGTCAAATCACTGCTCTGTAAGAGGTTCAGATAAGAAATAGTGCAATCTAAGAAGCTGCCCTGTTCAAAGACTACTGTTCAGGATGGGAGAAACAAGAGCTTGGGAAATGGAAAAAAAAGAGCAAATGTATGTCAACGTGCGGAGACCCCGACCACATCCTGTGTTACTGAACTGTACTGAGCTGATCGATAACAAAGATCAGCACAGAAGATTACCTCTTGAAAAACAGCTTCTGTGTGCAGGGAGATAAATTCAACTTATTAAAAGCTGACAATCTATCCACTCTGAGAAACATGAGCATAGCTGTGACAAAGCACAGTAGCAGAAATCACCAGTGTTACATGCAACCCATCTCATTCACATTCTACAGATAACTTTAATTAGATACAGTAATATTTATGAAACTTCCTGTGGAACGGTGAACTGTAGCTATCAAAATCTTTTATTGAACATGAGCCTCCCAAGGCTTTCAGTTTCATTAAGGTTATGAGGGTTTACTACTAGAACTGAACCCTGACTACACAAAAACGTAAAGCTTATATTAACGTTATCATCAGCAGTTTAAATTTGCTATTTAAAAACACAGTGTGTCTAAGGTTTTCTAAAATTTGAAGAAAGTCATTTTACCACCAGGCTGTCACTGTTGTCAGATGGTTGGAATGGCCCCAATGTTGTTGAGGAGTAAAACATGAACCTCAATTGCACATCAAAATGAAGACAGCGAGAAGACAGCACATTCTTCTGCAGTCGGTCTAAATTATCTGGATTGCTGAGCTGACTGAAGTAGCAGGCTCATGTACCTAGGTGATGTCGGTGGTGACCACCGGTTCCCTTTTCATAAGCAGTCTAAAAGGAAATCGATATTCACTCATTACCCAAAGATGTTTAGACTCCATGTGGGACAAAACCTGTAAGCACACCATTTGGTTTTAGTCATCCTCATTTTAGCTCATTGCTAGGATCATCTTTGAGCTCCTTTAGTCAACTTTTAGAAGCTGTCTATGTCCACCAAAACTACAGCCCAATTCTTGTCTTTTTTTCTGATCATCGGGACATTTTTAAAAGACTAATATCATTTCCTTTGTTTTCTTTCACCTGGAAATCACAAACAAAAACAGTAATGTGTGTGTGTGTGTGTGTGTGTGTGTGTGTGTGTGTGTTTTTAACAGTTAATATAAAGGCCCAGAAATAGCAACTTTGTAATGATACCTCTGCAGTGCAACCAGTTTACATCATCCACCCAGGGTCCATTGTACAAGAAAAGTAATGATAGTTTTTGTAGATCAAAATAGGTATTAAGTATTGTCAGAGTTCAAAAAATAATGAAAATAGTGAAAGCAGTTTTAAAAGCATGATTTATAGCAGGAGAGCTTTTACAGCGTATTAAGACCCACAAGTCAAAACCATGGTTCTATTTGAACACAAGACTCTATTGTGCTGTTCTGCTGTAGCTGATTCAGATGCTTAATGTGACAGTTTACGAGACAATTTTGGGCAATGCAAAAATCTTGTATACAATGCATTACAATTTTGAAGCAGGTCAAATTGGATACTTGACATTAAACCATTAAGTATGAATGCCACCATCCACATTTCAACTATAATTACTGTGAATGATTCATTTGGCTTCCTTTTCTCCGCTCTCTTTCTCAACTATGAGAATCTACGAACAAAACACTACTTCAAACTCGCTGCCAACAATAAAAAGTGCTCATTAAAACTTTTCAACAGAAAACAAAGGGCTGAGCAGCAGTCATTATCCCCGAACTTAGAGGTCTTTCAAGCCATACATCAAAGAGGTGTTAACTTCTAGGTCTATTATCACATTGTTATGTTTTCTATTTTTATTCATGGGTTTAAAAAAAAAAAAAAAAACTAAACAAATCGGTGTGAGCTGAATTTCTATTGCTGAATGAAACGGATTAGTTTATGATTTCCAGCTTTGCTGCAAGATAAAGCTGGAGTTTTAGCAGATTTATAAAAATCAGTAACGCTAAACACAAGGGATCACATACCTGAAATTACTCCCAAGATCACAGAAATAGTTTTCACTTTGACGGCAAGTCACTAGTACTATTCCCAAATGAATCAATGCATAGTTGCTGCTTGTCCACACTGCCACAAAGCAAGGACAAAGTTTTATCTAGGAGCACATTCCAAAGCAAGGAAAGGTACTAACAGCTCACGGGAACTAGATTACTCGAATAATTGTCTACTACCGGTAGGCCGGGCCATTGTAATTCAGTACTGTCAAAGTTGTCCCTTGACAACTGACAGGGAGTACTGACAGGGTCCAGACAGAGAGAGCATATTTCTCCCACACTGGCTTCTCTTAATTGCTTCCCATTAAATCCAGAATCAAATTTAAAATCCTTCTCCTCACATACAAGGTCCTGAACTTGTGGGTATTTAAAAGTAGAACAGAAGAGGCACAGCCTGCAGCCTTCATGCACCTCTTCTGTGGAACCAGCTCCCAGTTTGGCTTTGGGAGATAGACACCCTCTCTACGTTATTCATCTCTGGCTCTCCTGCACAGCGTGTATTTGTCCTGTCTTTCTCCCCCATTATTCCAAACTGGTTGTGACAGATGGCTGCCCCCCCCTCCCCAAGCCTGGCTCTGCTAGACGTTTGTTCCTGTTAAAACAGTTTTTCCTTCCCACTGGCACCAAGTGCTTGCTCAAAGGGTCTGATTGCTGTGGATTTCTCTATATTATTGTAGGGTCTTTACCTTGTTGTAAGGTAAACAACCCTTGGCTGTAAGGTGTGATTGTTGTTGCTATATAAATAAAACTGAATTTAATTATCCTACAGTTTTAAATGTGTACACAATATGTACACATGAACATGTTGGTTTTCCTGTTGTAATGATGAAACTTTAATTACAGACAAATTTCTGTGTGGCTCTGTTAGTGTCTCAACCTTCACTTAGAAGTGGTTTCTTTTTACAGACTCAGTTTCTTGAAGCAACGTTTAGAGCTTTTACATCATTTTTCAAATAAATATCTCAGCTTCTAAAAACAAACTGAACCAAAAAAAAAAACAAATGTTCTGTTTTCAAATGTGAGGGGGAAAGCTCACTTCTGACGTGTGACAGGGTCCGACTCTGTAGGGTGAATATAAGAAGTCAAGATCTGCTTCAAGGTTTGTTTGTCAGACACCCTGCAACAAAAATAGGCATCGTTAATAGAGAAGCAAATGCAAGAGAAAATAAAGGATCAATAATGGTCCCAACTTCAATTCAATATCAGTTTTCTTCGTCCCACTCCTTTTTCAGGCAATTTTTGTTTTTTGTTTTGTGCATTTTATGCTCAATATAGGTATTTGTTGTGCCTGGAAATGAACAAATAAATGAAATGAAATGAACACACTTTGGTTTCAGGGCACACTTAAACGCTAAAGGTTTAGAAGAAACTTTTATGACACACTATTGAAGAAATGTAATTATTACTTGATTACTCACCTCCTCTGAGTGAACTCTGAACTGCTCTGAGGAAATATGAGCTTCAGGTGCCACAGAAACAGTTTTTCTCTAGAAGAGACAGAAATGCACATTTTTATTTGCAGCTCATCAAAAACAGTGTTTTCATATAAGGTTATTGTTATTCTCACTGTACTCAATTCACAGTCAAACACAAATGCCCTTGTTTAATTTCAGAGCACAACATGGACACGGCTCTAATCTGTCCAAGACAATACATCTGGCTGCTTCCAAGATCCTGTCCATCTGTGTGACTGCGTGCAAATGAAAAAAACAAAAAAAAGAAGAAAAAAAAAAACATAGTCACCATGGAAACCGTGACATATACACTCAATACTAGGACACCAGCTGGCCAATATCGCATAATAATCACTTCTTCTGGGGTAATGCTTTGGGCAGTAACTGTGAAATGTGGTCGGGTTTTCTGGGTTGCTGGGTGTGCTCTACAACCAAACAATCATTCCCTAAGCAGCTGCAGTATTCTACTACTGCCGTCAGATAAAGCCAACAAAACCTAATACATCAAACCGTTTGGGAGATAAGAATAACATGATGTATGATGATCTATTCCTTAGTAATCTCTTACAGAATCTTTTGGTGGATTCACAACACTTAATATTCCACATAGCTATTTCGTCAAACTATAGCAGATCATACACCAAGTGATCATCATAAAATAAATATAATGCTGCAGAGGAAGAAAGGACTAGAATAAAACCTAATGGCACAAGCAGCAGCATGCTGTTCTCTCCAGAGTCATGCCACAGAATAGTGAGTGCTAAACCTAACTACAAGGACTTGTGTTAACCAAGACCACAGAGTTTGCCATGAGTAGGGTGGAGCTGAATCATCAAACACTTCTACAGCAAAGCAGAGGACTAAAGCCTTAACAGAGCTTAAAAATGAAGATGAAACATTACCCTCAAAAAGTCCCAAAGCATAAATGTAAGGAGAGCAAAGGAGACCTTGTTATTAGGGCTTTGCTACTCACCAAGATAGACTTGGAGCACATCATGGAGGTTTGTTTTTGTTACGAGCACCATCAGTGCACCAGCACGTGCATCAACCTCCTATTGTCTGCCATTCTCATCAACCTTTCCTCTGATGCATTCCTACCAGAGTCGCTGCAGAAGGCTCACTCGCAACCGTATAAAGCCAGTGAAGCTATAGCATGGAGGTTGGTAAGTGGTGTCTTGATCCCTCTTATTTACTCCCTCATCTCCATCACCGACAGCATCATCCCTCTGCTGGTTTTACAGTTTCTGTTTATTAATAACAAGTTGAGGTGGGAGTTACTAGCAGCCCTATACAAGTAACTCTAATACTTTAGCCTACTGATATTAGCTTAGGGGAGAAGCCAGAATCTGACGGTTTGTAGTCTTATTCCTGTTATTGTTTCTTTTTGCTGGGGCTCCCATCGCCCTTATTTGTATTGTTTGTTATTGTTATTTGTAACTAGCTATATTTTCAATATTGTAGGATTTTATATGTTAGGTTAATTTGAGCCATAGAGGTAGGCAGTGTACTGTCAGTGTAGACGATGGAAGTCATCCAGAAAAACTTATGAAACATCTGCTGATATCTGGTTGAATTCATTGTGTACATCCACAAAAAGCAGCAAACCTCAGCAGCAGCCCAGATGATCACCAGCCTGTACACTAAGAAAATCGACTGAGCCATTACATTATTAATTAAAGAAGTTGATAGAGTACTTCAACTTTTACTGGAGTATTTTTTTTTAACAGTAGTATCTGTACTTCTACTCAAGTACAGAATGTCTGTACTTTTGCCACCTTTGTACAAAATAGAATGAATAAGGCATCATCTGCACTCTACTGGGAACAAAGTGTCCAAATATGAGAGCTTGAGCTCACAATGGGTTCACAGCTGAGCAGTTCACTTGCTGAAGACACATAGGTGAGTGACAGATAAAACAGGAGAATATTGTGATTGTGGACTAAACTCTCCATAGGTAAATGAAATTATGTCCTGTGAACAGGATAAATATTTAAATGAAAGTAAAGCAGAACTTGAGCTAGTCTGTCAGTTAAACCCAGAACACAGAATAAATCAGCAGTTTAAATTTGTATTTTCAGAGGTAGGAATGAGGAAAATACAAGTTCACTACATTTTATTTGACCATACTTAAATAGTAACAATGCAACTAGCCTAACAACAAAGTTCTGGTCAAATAAATAAATTAGTAGTAAATTAGTAAATACTTAAATAAACGGTATATTTGGATAAATGTCCAAACCACTGACACGTCCTGCTAACTAAAAATCCAGGCAGTGTTCTGTTGTCGGGTCCACATGGTAGCATTATACCATAGATGGCTTTTTTCTCCCCAATGCAAACAGAAACAGGATAAGGAAAAAAAACAAAAAGACCAAATGTGTGTATTTATATGTGCGCACAACACTGAGTAAAAGGTTGAATTTTCACTTGGTTGTAAGGTGTGGGGCAAAGTGAAGGCCCCAGCAGACAGGAAGACAATGGACTGGGCGGTGATTTCCTACTTTGGAAGGCATCTCAGAAATCCACCCAATTTTTCAAAGTAATTTATGTGTTTGCTTAGTTTGGGTCAAGTTTCTTGTTTAGTGCGTCAGACTGACTTGCACAAGTGTCTGTGTGTTTCCATGTGTAAGCAAATGAGGGTGGAGCACCAGGTGTGATGCCATTACTCTGTCATTATGGCAAATGGAAATCATGTCTTTCAATGGAAAAGAGGCTTGCCCAAATATGCAGGCAATTGGGTCAGGCCAGGCCAAAATGCATACCTGTGAAAGGTGCCATCATTATTAATCACACACACAAAAAACAAAAACTGGAAAGAGCTGCATATAAAAGTCAAAATCGATCACGCTACCTAGACCTTTAACAGTTTTTACTGATAGCACTGGAACAAGACTGAGTTTTAACAAGATCCAACAAAGCCTATGATCTAATCTGGGAGTAAAACAGCAAACTCACAATTCAGATTCAACTTACTTTATTCTCACTCTGAAAACTCACCGTCTTGGCAAAAAGTGTCTTTAAAAAAAAAAAAACCCTGATATGATATTCAACAGTCTGAGTAGCAAAGACGGATATTGCAGCACAATAGCAGATTTAGGCGAGCAAATAATTGGAGGATTTTTTTTCCTTTGCTCACATTAATATTTGTGAACAGACAGTCACTCCAACTAATCACCGAATTGAATCTTTGCCTTGAAGAATACCATAAATACATAATGTGTGTGGAAGGGCTGGGCGATATGGCCTAAAATCCATTTCGCGATATAATTTGAAGCATGTGCGGTAACGATATATATCGCGATATATTCTTTTCTTCTGTATAGCGTATTTTCCACACTATAAGGCACATCTAAAATCCTTTAATTTTCTCAAAAATTCAGAGTGTGCGTATGAATTTTGGTTGTGCTTACTGACCTCGAACTGATTTGGGCGTGCAGAAATCCGTTAAAAAAATGTTTTAGTGCAACTTTGGTAAGCCGCACTGCTTGATGGATTGTCAGAGCATTACGGCTGCCGTAGTGAGGAGCTTAGCAGAGTAATCTGGGTCCAAAACTCCGTCCATTTCAGGTCCCAAAGTCAAACGAACAGAGTTAAAAACTGTCTAAATTCTTTCATCTTTAATAAAATTATCAGCGTTGCTGCTTTACCAGGTGTAACAATTAAGTTTAACATCCAGGCATCCACGAAAACAGAATTTGTTAAATTTAACAGAGTTAGAAGTTAGCAGGAAGTTAGCTCGCTAGTTTACACCTAAACATTTCATACCATGTTCTGACAGAGATTTTTGAAACTAAGTAAAACGTACAGCTCTGCTACCACTTCCAACATAAATGAAGACAGAAAACTAAACAGCAGTGGCGTTTGCAGGGTTACTGAAGTTGGACTACCTGCTATATAATGTTGTGCTACGTGATTGCTAGCAACACAGCTATGTTAGCATAACATTAGCACAGTGAAGCTGGAGGATGAACGCCAACTTTTTTCCACTCGATAAAAGTTAACGTGAGGGATTCTGGTGGTCAGGGACGAATGCAATCGCATAGCAGGATGCTATGCACGGGCCAAACTTCAGTCAGGAGAACAACTGAGATTATTCATTCACAATACGAAGTTAGTTATTAATATACTGCAACAACATGGGAATAGAGCAGCTGCGAGAGAATTCAACATTAATGAATCAATGTTACGGAAGAGGAGGAAGCGCAGTTTTTGGCTTTCCCCATATTTCAAAAGTGCTTCATCTCTTTGCTATGACTGTCGACCGCCATAATTTGAAGATGATAATGGTTGTAGCCGCTGCGATGCGCAGCTTGGTGACATCATCAACATGCACTATCGCGATAGAGCGGTATAGTCAAAATCTCCATCGTTGGCCAAATTTATATCGTTTCTATCGTATATCGTTTCTATCACCCACCCCTAGTGTGTGGTGTGTATATAATAATGTGTGGCCTTATAATCACTCTGGGGTTCGTTTGATCCTGTGTTTTTATCTTTCAATTTCTTTTTAAACTTGTTTTTATATGAAAACCCGCTAAGCAGCATAATGAACGAAACAGACAATCCAATAATCAGGTCCACTTTATGCATTAACTGGTGAGGTTTGAAAAGAAAGGTCCTGTTTCACATAACTATAATAGTCCCTATGACTGCAAGCTTACTTTTCAACAGTTTATGTTGTACAAACTAGTATGTTTTAAGCATACTGAACCTTTGCTATTTGAGGTTTGGCTACTGCTTTATACAGAGTCTGAGCAATTGTCCTGATGTGTGGAGGACACTACGAATGAAAGCATGATCGGGGGAGATGGATAAATTCATTAACCAGAGTACACACTGTTGGTTTAGTAAGTGATTGGTGTTGTGTGTGCTATCCACAGCAGTGAGCAGAAACCCTGACTGGTGGTCTGGCAGTCGCAGCAGAAATCCATCTGGCTGGATTAAGGACTGGACCGATCCAACAAAAATGTCACTACACGTGAAACCATGTGTGCTGTGTTTCTGATGGTCAGAGGCAGATGCCAGGATCTGAG